CTTTTAAACATTTTAAGATAACATTTTTTATCATCAAATTATTTTAATGGAACATGATTCTGGCTCCATTTCTTGGTTGGCATCTTGGTAGGCCTGTTCAGGCCCATCTGATGATATATTTCAGCATTTTGGTGAAGTCTGACTGTGTAAGCCAATACTAATTAACATGGCTCATCTCAGGTACAGTAGAACATAATTAACTTGGAATTAAGGGTCCCCTACTTCAGAACCTGTGGCAACATAGATCTTCATGGTTGGCCTTTGCACTACACAATGAAAAAAGCCTTGCTAAGCAAGTTCATGGAATAATCAACAATTGCAAAGCAAATGTTTAACCTTCTAAAGAAAATAAACAGTTTTAAAGAAGTTGAACTTAATCAGTATCAATGTCTTATAGTTTTCCAAGTACAGGCATTTTACCTCCTTGTTTAGAAATTTATTCCTAGGTATTTCATTCTTTTTAATGCAATTATAAATGGGTTTATTTTCTCAATTTTTTAATAGTTTATTATTGGTGTATAAAAATGCAACTGATTTATGAATATTAATGTTATATCCTGCTACTTTACTGGATGTGTTTATTAGCTCTAATATTTTCTGGTGGATTCTTTAGGGTTATTTATATATAGTATCATGTCACCTCAAATAATGAGTTTTACCTCTTCTTTTCCAATTTGGATGCCTTTTTTTTCTTTTTATAGGGTGATTGTTAGGGCTAGTGCTTCCAATGCTTAGTTGAATAAAAGTGGTGGAAGTCGACAACCTTATCTTGGTCCTCATATTAAGGAAAAAAATTTCAGCTTTTCACCGCTGGGTATGATGTTAGCTGTGGGTTTGTCATATACGGCCTTTATTATGGTTAGATATGTTCCCTCTATCTCTCTGATGTAAGTTTTTATCATAAACAGATATTGGATTCTGTTAAATGCTTTTTCAACTACTGCTATGATCATATGATTTTTATCCTTTATTTCATTTATATCATATATCATGTTAATTGATTTGTGGATATTTAATCAACATTGCGTCCCAGGAATAATTCCCACTTGATCATGGTTAATGATCTTTTTTAATGTATTGTTGAATTCAGTATGCTAATATTTTGTTGAGGTTTTCTTTGCATCTATATTCATTAGGGATATTAGCCTATAATTTTTTTTGTAGTATCTTTGTCTGGCTTTGGTATCAGGGTAATGCTGGCCTCTTAAAATGAGTTTGGGAGGCTTTCCTCTTCTTCAATTTTTTGGAGTAGTTTGAGAAGGATAGGTATTAATTTTTCATTGAGTGTGAAGCCATCCAGTCCAAAACATTTGTTTGTTGGGAGTTTTTTTTATTACTGATTTGATTCTGTTTGTAGTTATAGGTCTGTTCAGATTTTGTTTCTTCTTAATTCAATCTTGAAATATTGAATGTTTTTAGAAATTTATCCATTTCTAAAAATAAGGAAATTCTGCCCATCTGGCATGGCTGAGTGGTTGAGCTTTGACCTATGATCCAGGAGACTGAGGTTTGATTCCCAGTCAGGGCACGTGTCCAGGTTGTGGGCTCGATCCCTAGTAGGGGGCATGCAGGAGGCAGCCAATCAATGACTCTCTCTCATCATTGATGTTTTTATCTTTCTCCCTTCCTATCTCTGAAATAAAAAATCAATAAAAAATAAACAAAAACAAGGAAATTCTGACAAGTGCTACAATTGGGGTAAACCTTAAAGACATTATACTAAGTGAAATAAGCCAGTATCAAAAAGGCAAATTTGTATGATTCCACTTATATGAAGAGCCCAGAGTAGTCACATTCAAAGAGGTAGGAAGTAAAACAGTTGCCAAGGGCTGCAGGGATGGGATATACAAAGTCAGTGTTTAATTGTTTATTTTCAGTATTGCAAGATGAAAAAGTTCTGTAGATGGATGGTAATGATGGCTGCACATAACATGAATGTACTTAATACCACAGAACTGTACACTTAAAATGATTAAATCATAATTTTTATGTTATGTATATTTTACTACAATAAAGAAAGAAATAGAAGTTTGCTGTTTGAAATGATTAACAAAATCAACAAACCTTAAACTAGACTGTCCAAGAAAAACAAGAGGGAAGACTTAAATTTCTAAAATCAAAACTGAAAGTGCATACTTTACTATTTGCTTCACACAGATAAAAAAGATTATAAAAGAATACTATGAACAATTGTACCCCAAGAATTGATCATTGAAATTAGATTACCTACATGAAATTGACACATTCCTAGAAACACACAAAGTACCAAACTTATTCAAGAAGAAACAAAAAATCTGAATAGAAATAAAACAAGATGTTAAATCACCAGTCAAAATCCTCCAACATAGAAAAGTCTAGAACTGTATGGCTTCACTGGCAAATTCTGTCAAACATTTAAAGAATAATTAACACTAATCCTTTCTAAACTCTTCCAAAACATGGGACAAAACACCTCCTAATTCATTCTATAGAGCCAGTATTACTCTGATAATAATGCCAAACAAATCACACAAAAAAGGAAAACTACAGACCAATATCCCTTTTAAATATAGATGCAAAGTTTTCAACAAAATATTAACAAACACGATACAACAGCACATTAAAAGGATTATATACCATGAATAAGTGAGATTGATCCCAAGAAATATATATATATTTAAAATCTATAATATCCCTGGAAAACAAAGCAGGAATGGTCTTGGTGGATCTGAAAATAATAGTTTCTAAAAATATGAGGCAGACATGACCAGATTAAATGAAGAATGTGCAGGACATAGCAGCTGTAAAAGTGGGAATAGCATTATATTCCTATATATAGTGTATCCCAGAAATTAACAGATGTAATAATATTAATACTATTCTCACTAAAAATAAGAAAAGAGGAGTCAAGCCCTAGCCAGTTTTTCTCAGTGGTTAGAGTGTTGGCGCTCGGACTGAAGAGTCCTGGGTTCAATTCCAGCCAAGGGAGCGTACCTTGGTTGTAGGCTCCAGCCCCCAGGCTGCATGCGGGAGGCAACAAATCAATGTGTCTCTCACATAGATGTTTCTTTCTCTGTCTCTCTCTCCCTTCCACTCTCTCTGAAAAGCAATGGAAAAAATATCCTCAAATGAGGATTACAAAAAAATAATTAAAAAAAAAAATAAAACAGTAGTCAAGAACAAGACAAGATGGCTGCATATCCCTGCTACTGAAAGAATAAAATAAAAAGATACAATAGGAATGAATAAAAATAAAACTGTTAATATCTCTACATGATACAATAGTTTACCTAGGAAACCCAAAAGAATCAACTAACAAGCCAGTAAAACCAAGAAGACATGTTAATGTATGATTAGATACAATATCATACACAAAAGACCGTATATCTTTCTTCAGCACCAGCAATAACCAATCAGAATTAATTCATTTTGTATATTTATTTCTTTTTCAATAAAAAATTACAAATACAGTTGAAACTCCTTGTGAGCCTCTTCCTGATTTCATTCAACTCTCTCCAACTCAGAGGTAACCGGTATCTTATATTTGGAGTTTTTCATTCCTATGCATGCTTTTTATGTTTTGCCGTGTGTGTGTGTGTGTGTGTGTGTCCTTAAATATGTATATTATTGAAATTATTTCCAAATATAAAGTAAATTATGTATATTATTTGAATAATGTATATTCAAAAATTGTACAAATGGTATTAGATTATATATATATATATATATATATATATATATAATTCTGCAACTTGCTTTCACTCATTAATAGCTTTAGACTCATTCATGTTAATATTTACATGTTTAGGACATTCTTTCTCATCATCTGAAATCAATATGGATGCACACCTTTTGAAATATTCATTTCCAGAAATGTTTTGGGCAGTAAAAAATGAACCTAAAAAGATATATGGGTTAATGCAATGGATGAATGATTGTGTTCCCCCAAAATTCATATGTTAAAATCCTAACCCACAATGTGATGCTATTAGGAAGTGGAGCCTTCAACAAGTAATTAGGTCATAAAGGTGGAGTTCTTGTGAACAGGATTAGGGAAAACCCAGAGAGCTCCCTCACTCTTTCTCTGCATGTGAAGATATAATGAGAAGACGGCAGTCTGCAAATGGGAAAAGGGCCTTCACCAGAACCTAACCATGTTGGCATCCTGATCTTAAACCTCTAGCCTCCAGAACTGTGAATAATAAGCTTCTGTTGTTCATAAGCCACCAAATCTATGAAACTTTATTCTAGCAGCCTGAAACTAAGACTGTTAAAAACAAATATCACAATGAAAGTAAAAGCAGCTTGGAAAAAGTTGGAAACAACTTTAGTGTTCTTCAATAAGAAGAAAGTTAAATAAATTGTGGTACATCCATAGTATGGAAAATGATTTTAAGTATTTAAAAATAATTTGGGAGATGGGGTAGAGGAGACCAATATGGGGGGAAAGGGGGACATCTGTAATACTTTTGACAATAAGATAAAGTAAAAATCATAATAATAAAAATAATTTGGTAGATCTATAAGTATTGACATAAAAATATTTCTAAGATATAAGAGAAAATATAAACCAATATGGTCTCTTTCATGTTAAAAATTTTAACTGCGTACTTTTAATCACATATATGTAAATACATTTTAGAAAAACAGTTAGAAAACATAATATTGAGTACCTTTAGTAACTGAATGAGTGTGAGGGAAATATTTGCTTTTATGGTATATTGTTAGAATTTTTTAAATGAGACTATGTTTTTCTACTGTAATTTTTAAGAAATAAGTTGATGATACATAGATATACAAATGTTAGACAAAAAAACTTATCAATTAAAATAGACAAAGAATCAACTTCCAGGGAATACAATCCAGTAAAAGCTAACTATATTATAAGCTTTTTAGATGCTTGTAATTGGCATTTTTATGGCCTATGACTATAAATGAAGTTTCCATTTTATTTTCACTTTTCTTCATATTTGTTTAATTAAAATACAAGAAAGCAAAACAGTTGTAATTAATATACTTACTGACAGATCTCAACGTTTTCCATCGCAGAAGACAACCGTGAAAATTCAAGCGCAGCACATTTAGACGCCACCTTTGCAGAGTAGACACTATATACTTATCCATGCCCACATTTTTTACTGTGGAAAAATCAATCTAAAAAGGATAAACAAAAGATATCAAGAAATGAAAAGATCTTTTGCATGTAAAATTTTTAAGTATTTTTAAAGCATCAAGGACTAAAATTCCTTTATCGCATCACTCATTTGGGGGGCTTTTGTTGTTGTTGTTTTTCATGGTCATTCCCAGCTTTAATTACAAACAGATTTTCTTATTCATGGTAATTCCTAGGTTTAATTACAAACAGATTCAAAATGTTCAGTCCAGGTCAACAGCTGTAAGGGTAGTGGCCTCACATCCGCTCAACCTGGGTCAGTTATCCCCCCATCATCCTAGGTGAGCCCCCACTCCAGTGTCAATGCAATCTGGGTTAATATTTCTGCCTATTGTTTTATGAGCACAGACTGTATGTTGAGTCCTTGACTATGGAAAAGACAATTTCAAAGTGTGGAGTTTATAATGACCTTTTCATAAGTCATAATTTGGAGGTTATTCTAGAGAAAAGGAAGGATGACCTGAGTGGACCTGGCTGACTGTATGTAATATTGAAGAGCACAGAGGTTTATGTGAGTTGTTTTTTTTTAAATTTATCTTTATTGTTGAAAGTATTACAGGTGTCCCATTTTTTCCCCCCATTGACACCCTCCACCTCGCTCCCATCCCTTCCCGAAGCCTTCACCCTGTTATTGACTGTGCCCATGGGTTATATATATATGCATGTAACTTCTTTGGTTAATTTCTTCCCATCCTCACCCCCCTTCCCTCTTTCCTCTGAAATATGATCATTTGTTACATACATCAATGCCTCTGAATCTATTTAGTTTGTCAGATTCTTTTGTTCATTAGCTTCTTCTTAAAGAAGACCCTTCAACATTTCCTGTAGTGCTGGTTTGGTGGTGATGAACTCCTTTAGATTTTTCTTATCTGTGCAGCTCTTTATCTGACCTTCACTTCTAAATGACAGCTTTGCTGGGTAGAGCAATCTTGGTTGTAGTTCCATGTGTTTCATCACTTGAATATTTCTTGACACTCCCTTCTGGCCTGCAAAGTTTCTGTTGAGAAATCAGCTGACAGTCATATGGGTGCTCCCTTGTAGGTAACTAATTGCTTTTCCTTTGCTGCTTTTAAGATTCTCGCTTTGTCTTTAACCTTTGGCATTTTAATTATGATGTGTCTTGCTATGGGCCTCCTCGGGTTCCTCTTGTTTGGGACCCTCTGGGTCCTGGACTTGTAAGTCTATTTCTTTCCCCAGGTAGGGGAAGTTTTCTGTAATTATTTTTTCAAATAGGTTTTCAATTTCTTGCTTTCCTTCTTCTCTTTCTGTTAATCCAATAATATGAATGTTAGGCCTCTTGAAGTTGTCCCAGAGGCTCTTTATACTATCTTCATATTTTTGAATTCTTTTTTCTTTTTGCTCTTCTGGTTGGGTGTTTTTTGTTTCCTCATGTTCCAAAGTGCTGATTTGATTCTCAGCATCCTCTACTNTATGTTATCGATTTTCTCAGTTATTTCCCTAATAGTCTGCTTAAACATCCTTATAAACAAAATTCTGAACTCTGTATCTGTTAGCTTGCTTGGATCTATTTCATTTAGTTCCTCTTCTAGAGATTTCTTCTGTTCTTTCCTTTGTGGCATGTTTCTTTGTCTCCGCATTTTGTCTGCTTTCTGGTGTTTGTTTCTATGTATTAGGTAGAGCTACTATGTCTCCTGGAATTTGTAGAGTGTCTTTGTGTAGTAGGTGTCCTGTAGGGTCCAGTGGCTCAGCCTTCCCAGTCACCTGAGCTGTTGTAGTTGAGCCTTGGTTGCTGTTGGCATCACTGGGAGGAATTAACCCCCTTGCCAATCTGCTGTGAGGACCAGCTGCAACTACAGCCAAAGAGCTCCTGTGCTGGAGACACCCTTATGGAGCAGGATTTACTTCAGTGGAGCTTTGGTGTTCACCAAGTGAGCCCCTTGAGTGTGTCACTCATGGATGTGGTAGGGTTGTAATCCAGCATGGTCCAGTCTGACCACCAGGTGCACTGTCTCTGGGGCCTTCTGGGAGGTGCAAAGTCAGCCTATGCCAGTGCCTTACCCAGGGCCACCCAGCATGAGCTACTCAGCAAACCATAGTTGGCTGCTACTTGTGCTGGGCTGGACATTGTCCAGGAGAGGCCAAGCTATGAGCCAATGCAGGCTGCCACTAGTGCCAGGCCTGGGGACACTTATCAAGCCATAATGGGCATGATGCTTCTTGTTTGAGAGATTTTAGGAAAGTCCTAAGCATAAGGCTTAAGAGGCCACTTGCACAGAAAAGCAGCTGGAAATGGCCTGGATGAGCTTGCTGGTAGGGAGGGGCAGGGCCTCCGGGAATCACTGGGGCAGGGCCAACGGTGTGAGTCAGGTGCTGGAGATTCAAATATGGCACCTGCCTGCCAGCTGTGTGCGGGGAGGACTCACCAAAGGAGCAATGGCCTCTGCCAGCTCTTCTGCCTGGGAGGAAGCTGCCCCTCCAGCTCTTGTCCCAATCTCAAGCAGGTTAGTTCTTCCCCAAGTGTCCCAGGTTCCTTTCAGGTTGCTGCCCAGTGCTGGGGCTCAGAGGGAGCGCATCTGAGTGAGTCCATGTGCGGGCCCTTTAATAGGAAAGCCTGGGGCTCCCGCAGCCTCTGTGTCCCTCAGGGGCAGTCCCCACTGGTTTCACAGCCTGGAGTTGTGGGTACATCTCTTCCCAGACCTGGAGCCCTGGCCTGGGTGCCTGCTGTGGGGCTGGGACCCTTCACTCCTCTGGGAAACCCCCACCGCTGAGATGTCCCTCCCGGGTTTAAACCGTGGCACCTGGTGTGGGCCCGTGGCTGAATCTCTGGGATCCAGCCCCGATCTGCCCTCATCTCCACCCCTCATACTGGTCTCGATGCGTCTTCAGATCTCTGGTTGTAGGGCTTCTGTTCAGCCAGATTTCAGGAGGTTCTGAGTGATTGTTGTTCTGTATTTTAGTTGTAATTTTGATGTGGTTGTGGTGGGTACAGCTGCTACCTACATGGCCAGCTTATTTCCTCCCCCTCTATGTGAGTTCTTAATGGCCAGGGCAGGTTGGTAAACAATAACATTGATAGCATAGTGTTAACAGTATTTTTCAGTTGAAGGGGTAAGTTAATGAACATCCAATTTTTTGCCTTCTGAACAAAGTAATTCTTAGTGCTAAAATGCTTTTTATAGTTGTGCCACATTTGAGCATTGACAAATAAAGCCAACAGCTAATTGAAGATGAAGGGCAACATAGAATTGTGGAAAAAGATATTTGCTCAACATAATGAAACTTAACTTCCTATCCTGGCTTTGTTCCTCACTGCCATGTGCTCATATGTTCTCCATCTTTACCCAATAAGGTCTTGAGCAGAAGTGCTGGCTTTTCCTGCCAGGTTTCTGCAGTATTTGTCTTGATCTTAACATTGTACATATTCTTTCTCTTCCAGACCACTTGGATTCATTTTTTCCTACTTTATGGGTTTTCCAAAGGAGAAAAGTAACACCCCAATCTGTCACAAAGTAAATTTCTTGCTTTTAATCCCACTTTACTTTGATTCTCAAAGTGTGGTCCTAGGACCAGCAACATCAGCATCACCCAGAAACCTGTTAGAAATTAAAATTGTTAAGCCCCACCCCAAACCTACTGAGACTCTGGGGGTGGCAACCAGCAATTTGTTTTAACAATCCCTTCAGATGATTCTGATACATGCTAAAGTTTGATAGTAACTGCCTTAAACTAAAAATAAATTTAAGACAGGAATACTTAATTTGTTAGCCATTATGGGTTACCTAAGACAGAAAGTAGTACATTTTTTTCTTACCATTGTTGCACAAGATAAGAGCAGAACAGTACAGTCCAGCAATGGAATGGTGCTCTGATGGGATATAAAAATGTTGAGATGACTTATCGAACTAGAGCTCATGGCATCTTGTCAACTCCTCTTAGTTTCTTTGTGTAAGTTTTAGAGTTTCTGCAGAATGGCCCTGGCCATTTATTCATAGGTGAGTCTGAGCACTTGATATCATCAGTCCTCCAATTATCAGGAATTAAATTGTGATGGCAAAGTCAACTGTTGACTGGACTTTAAGCAACAGAGAAAATATTGCCACTGCAACATTTGTTGATGGCATAAATGATAATAGTTGTTGAGATTAAAGTATCACCCATGAAACAGAATAGAGAAGTCATAGGAGATAATACATGCTTATTTTTTGTTGTTGGCTGAGACCTCTCCTCAGTGTCTTTTTGGAATGAGAAACACAGGCATGTTCTAGGTTACAAGAATAGTAAAAAAATAGTATGATGAGAAGAAGAGTACAGAGGCAACAGCCTAGAAAGTCCATATTTGAAAATGCCTGAGTGTATGCGTGTCTGTGTGCATGCAAACACACTAAGAATATCAAACAAGCTTTGTTTATATGTTGTGTATTTTAGCCCTATTTCATACTTTGTTGTTGTTTTTTTTTACCCCATATTTTGGGCTGCTTTGTTATGTTTGTTGAATGAACAGTATAGTTAATACTTATTTCATTCTCCTTACATACAGACTCTACACTCAGAACTTTACTTGCATCATCTCCATTTACCTCTGCAGCATTCTGAGTTAGGCACTGGTAAGCCTAACATGTACATTAGAACTTTGTTTCAATCCAAAAATAATATTCAATTTACTTCCACCATTTAAGTTAGAAAATACTAATAATGTACCTCTTAAAAATAACATTACCTTTTTATCTCATTCTTCAGGCTTGTAGCGGAACAAAAGAGAAACAGGTGCACCTACTCTTGGTGGCCATATAGTGGGGAGCAGGAAGGAAGGTAGTCACTACTACATTTGGCTTATAGCAGCCCATTCTCTTTTAAGAACTAAAATACAGTCAGGCACCATATAACAATATTCTAGTCAACTACGGACCACACGTAAGAAGGTGGTGGAATAAGATTATAATGGAGCTGAAAAATTCCTATCACCTAGTGACACCGTAGCCATTGTCACATCATAGTGCAATGCATTACTCACATGTTTATGGTGATGCTGGTGTAAACAAACCTGTGCTGCCAGTCATACAAAAGTATAGCACATATAGTTATGTACAGTACATAATACTTGATAATAAATGACTATGTTACTGGTTTAGGTATTTATTATACTATTTATAGTTATTTTAGAGTGTATTCTTTCTACTTATAAAAAGAAAAAGTTTGCTATAAATCAGTATGCTGTGTTATACCAGGCAGCAGCCTCATACATCTCATGTTTACCACATCTCTTAATTGCATCATTTTCTCTTATGCTTGATTTAATCTCATGTTGTTTTGTAGAGTAACATGCTGTGCAAGCTTGTAGCCAAGGAGCAACAGGCTACACCATATAGCCTGGGTGTGTAGTAGCCTATACCATGTAGGCTTGTGTAAGTGCACTCTATGATGTTCACACAATGACAAAATCACCTAACAACGCATTTCTCAGAACATATCCCCATTGTTAAGTGGCACATGACAATAGCTTCAGGTAATGACTACTTACGTAATTCCACAATAAGCTATTTTGTGTCATTGACATCCAGGAGTGACAAACTTGACCACATATTACCACATCTCTTAAACTGAGATAGAAGAAAATCTAAACACAAAGAGAATATACAATTTTGAAAAATGAATTTTGACATAACTCTTCCACTTACCTTTTTTTGCTATTAATAATGATTATGTAATCCATATATTGTAGATGCAGGGATTTAAGTGCTGGAACTTTATCTAAAGATTAGAATTTCAGCTAACGTACCATAACCTATCTGTTGATGCCTTTGATATAATGTGATCTTTTTAGTTGATCATTGGAGAGGATGATAGGCAGATTTGTTTTCTGAATGAAAGTAGCATCCTCCTAGAAAATTAGTGATTTCTAAATAGTGGCTGGGCTGGTATATAGAAGGCATTCAGTAACAGTTTGCTGAACTGGATTCTTTCTAAAGTAATAGGACTCTTGGGAAAGATCAATAAACCCACCTTAGACTCTATTTATGGAAAAAAATGGTAGGTAAGAAAACCTGGAAATCCTCTTGTATCTATCAGTACATAATAAATAAACATTTTAAAAATATTTCTTTAAATTTTTTAAAATTTCAGCTTCATTAAGGTATAATTGACATACAAAATTATAAGGTATTTAAAGTATACATTATGATTTGATATACGTAGGCACTGTAAAAAGGTTTCCTCTCATCTAATTAACTCATCCATCACTTCACATGTTTATCTTTGTGTGTGTCTGAGATAGGGAGAACATTTAAGTTCTAGTTTCTTACAAATTTTAATTATACAATACAGTGCTATCAACTACAGTCACCATGTTTTACATTAGGTCCTCAGACCTTATTAATCGTATAGCTGAAAGTTTGCATACTTTTACCAGCCTCTCCCTTTTCCCAGACCCATCAAACCCATGGCAACCACTTTTCTACTCTCTAAAACAAACATATTTTTAAAAAACAGAACTGAGTTTTCAAGAAAGTAGGAAAAATATCCAGGGCGTCAATCCTTGTAAACCCAAACTCATAATAAGGTGTTTGTGCAGTAGTTGCTCTGATAGGGAAGCAATGGAGATGACTGGTGCTTTCATCAATAAATAGGTTCAGATTTTACTGGTCATGCAGGGACAGAAAAAGTAACTAGGCTTGTACAAAACAGGGAGTCATAATTGAGAGAGAGAGAGAAGGAGAGAAAGAAAGAGAGAGAGAAATCCATGATTATGAGAGAGATTTAAAAACAACAACAAAAACACCTGCTTATTGACAACAGAGAAATTAATATACTTGCCTTGAATATTAAAAAGATTCCAAAAGAATTTGTAACAAACCAGCTAACATGGCAATTGGGATTTGAAGTTTTAATTATTTGTGGGATCCAATTTGAACTTATTACCATTATAATTGGATTTGATACATTAACATGCAAAGATCTTCCAAGCTGGTAGTAACAGTGAGACATTTGGCAGAAATAAATACTACTCTCTCTAAAGAGACACATCCTCAAACCAGGCCTTATAGGATTTCCACAGATTAAGCCTCAATAAAAATTACAAAACACATGAAGGAAAAAAATCCAACAATATTCAACAACAAAAAGTAATAACTTTATTAATAAAATTGTGACATAGTAATTATAAAAACATTAAGGTGATAAAGACAAAGAAAATTAAATTCTTAAGAAAGGCTGTTGTTGAGAAAAAAACTGGGAAGATTTATAAAGGAACTAAATTATATTTATGGGAATTAAATATATAATGATTGAAATTAAAAAATCAATGCTTAAGTTATATAGCAGTTGAAACCTAGCTGATAAGAGAATTAGCAAACTGAAATATGTATTGAAAGAAATTACAGATGATAAGGCATAGAGAAAGAAAGGGATGGAATATACAAAGGGGGGGTAAGAGACACATTTTTATAACACAAAAAGGCCCAGCATCCTATATATCTTTATAGAATTTCCAGAAGTAGAGAACAGAGAGAATGGAATCAAAGCAAAATTCGAAAACGTCACAGATAAAAATGTTCTAGAACTGATGCAAAGCAACAGTTCTCAGTTTCAAGAAGTAAAGAAATCCCAAACAAGAAAATAAAAAGACGCCATGGTATTATAGTGATATTACAAAAGGGAAAATTACAAAAAGGAAAATCTTAAGTGCAACCAGAGATAGATTACCTACTAAAGAATGTCTCCTAGACACACAGAAGGCAGAAAGCAGAAAATACTTATCAATCTCAGATGCCACATACAAGTAAGTTACAACTCAAGGATGAACATTAATAAAGACATTTTAAGACAATGATTGAGAGAGTTTGCCTCCAATAGACCCTTCACAAAAGAACTTCTGAAGGGCATTGGGATCTGAAGAAAGAAGTGAGATGGAAACAGAAATGATGGGCAAATAAACTAAGATGAAGCCATTAACCTAAACAAAAGGATAATGATGATGACTAAGGTGGGGAACAGAGCACTAGATAATACTAATATTCTAAAACTAGAGAGAGTGTTCTAAATTCTGGTAATTATTCAGGAAGAAAGTATAGGTATTAATTACTTTAACCTTTATTAAGGTAAATGCACATGCTAAACATATTTAAGAGAAACCACTGAAATAGTAGAAATAGAATATGTATCTTCTAAAACATAAAAATGAGGATAAGGGGGTAGATTTTAAAACTCAATAAATAAAAGCAGGGAAGAATAAAAAAAGAAGTTATATAAAGGAGGACAAGTAGTATACAATGAGATGAGAAAAAAATACAAGTATATCCAATAACAATAAATTTAGCAAGTTTCACTGGTTAGAAAACAAAGATTATCCCTAATAATGCCTTTCCTTTAATGTTTTTCCCTCTGATATTAATATAGCTATTACATTTATTTTCATTTGTGTTCATCTTGTTCAGTGTAGAATTTTAGGTGGATATTTAAAGCTTATCTGATGAAGAGGCTCACTACATAATAGTTAAAGAAAACAATTCATACAATTCACTGGACACATATAACAATTATAAATGTGTAAGCATCTAATAACATAGCCATGAAGATACAAGGAGAAATTGAAAAATTCACAATCATGATGAAAGATTATATCAAAACTCTCCAATGAAATCAGCGTGAGGAAATAAATCTCCCCTGGATTTCCCAGTGCTCAGGTAAAAAGCTCTAGCCTCTGGAGACACAAAAATCTATTATGATATAAAGGTAATGTGATTAGACCTGTAGCAGTTGTCTAATTAATGTCTCTGATCCAAAAGGATAATAAAACTTCTCTTGTCTTCCTAAGAAGGTCAAATGGTTATAGTTTGGACCAGTCAGGCTCCCAAGGTGCCAGGAAGATCCCCAAAATTTATATCTCATGGAGAAATGTGTCCCTGGACTTTGGAGATATCTTTAGGTCATAAGAGTTGGAGGCATGAGGGCTTTTCTGGCCCTTGGAGGGAGGTCCTGACTCCCTCTTTCACTTATAAGGACCCTTGTGTTTAAGGACTCACCCAGATATTCAAAGATAATCTTACCATCTAGACCTTTAACTTAATCATGTCTTCAAAGGCTCTTTTGCCACCTAAAGTAACATATTCACACTTTCTGAAATTAGAACATGGATATCTTTGGGAGGCTATTATCCTACCTACTATATTATGTAAGAAAATGATAAACACTAAATGTAAAGAGCAATTACTTCTGATGGAGGGAAGAGAATGTCATCGGGGAGGCTTTAACTGAATTTGTTAAGCTTTATTTTTTAAACTGGGTGGTGATTATGCTGGTGTGTTTACTATATTATGTTTCTTTACATGCCTTAAATGTTTCATTTTAATAACTCCACTTTTGAATAAAATGTTTTGGAATAAATTTAACTATGAAGATGATAGATTAGTACACTGAAAACTGCAAAGCATTACTGATAGAAATTAAAGAAGACCTAAATGAACAGATATAACATGTTCATGGATTGAGAAACATAAAAATGATAAGGGGAATTGAATCAGAATTTGAAATATGTTTATGAATAGATACATACCAAACAGACACAGGCCCAGAGAATTTTACAAGAGTATTATATCAAATATCCAAGGAATAGTTAATACTAACAAGAAAAATATTAAGATGTCAATACCACCCAAAATGATCTGCAGGTTTCATGCTATCTCTATCAAAATTTCAATGGTTCTATTTCCAGATATGAAAAGACCAAGCCTCAAATTCATATGGAATTGCAAGGAGACCCAAACAGCAAGAACAATTTGAAAAAGGAGAACAGTTAGAGGACTCACAATTTCCAATATCAAAACTTAATACAAAGCTACAGTAATAAAAACAGCATGGTACTGGCATAGAATAAATATTTAGACTAATGTGGTAGAATTGAGAGCCCAGAAATAAACCTGTACATCTATGGTCAATTGATTTTTTACAAGGATGCCAAAACTGTTCAATGGGACAAGAACAGCATCTTCAACAAATGGTGCTGGAACAACTGTGTATCCAAATTCAAAAGAATGAATGTGGACCCCTACCTCACACCATATGCAAAGTTAACTCAAAATGGATCAACAATCTAAGTAAAAGAGCTAAAAGCCATAAAACTCTTTGAAGAAAAACATAGGGTAAGTCTTCATGACTTTGGGTTTGGCGATGGTTTCTTAGTTATGACACCAAAAGCATGAGCAACAAAGGAAAAAATAAATTAGACTTCATCAAAATTTAAAACTTTTGTGCATCAAAGAATTTTTTCAAAATTGTATGTACAACAAAGGGGAAAAATATGTCACTAATTAAGTCAGTCACTGAAATGGTTAAGAAGCATTGGAAAAGTATGATGGTAGATCAGGTGATCTGAAAACTGTACTTGCACAATTTTGTGCATGGACTGTACTTGTATAGTGTTTTTAAGAGAGAGGAAGTATTATGACAGGGCCTATGCCCAGAGAGGTTAACACAACCTAGAAAAGAAGCTGCAGCACAGAATAGCAGTAGAAGCATAGGGTCAAATTTCTGATGGTGTAAGAGATACAAGAAAAAATGACTTGTGTAAGAGTTGCCTAAGAATGACTTAGAGAAAGAGGGAGGCAGGAAGCAAAGCCCTAA